TGATAGCTCAAAACTGGAAGAGTAAAATTTTACCTACAATGGAAGACTGGAGATTGAAAGTTTCGTACCTTGCTGAAATGGCAAAGATTTCGGCTTACTTGAAGAATTACTCAAACGAACAATTTTTATTAATATGGAGAAGATGGATTGTTTATATTCAAAAGAAGCATAGAGTGGTGGAATATAATCTAGGTTTTTAATAAATTTGTTTTTCTTTTTTTTCTTTAATATATTTTACCTATCCATGTAGAATAATACACTTTGTGGAGTTAGAGATATTAATACTTGTTTACCTATATCTGAATATTATCCTGGGATTAGGTTTGGGAAGTCCGGGGGGGTGGGGGTTTTTTCATAGCATTGTGTAATATTTGTGATGTTTTTTTTATGATGAAAATAATAAAAATTTTATACTTCAAGAGTTAGTATAATAACCTGATGTGATGAAGTTTAGAAGCCCCTTCTTTACTGTTTTGTTATCATTTTATTTTCTGTCCTACTTTCCCCCTTTTTTTCCTGCACTTTCTGCACTTCTGTTTTTAAAAGCAAATAGGGAAATGTGTTAGAAATGGTCTTAGATGCCACTATATGTATTTCTGTGATTCTGAACCTACAACACTGTATATGACTTTTCAAAATGTCTTGTCCTGGAAAAAAAGGCTGGCTTTTTTTTTTTAAGGTACTAAGATTCTAGCTCATATGACTTGAGAAGAAAAAATAGACATAATTTCTATGATCAGAATTAATAATGTCCAACATTCAACTTAACAAAAACAGAAACAAAATAATTATTTTTTTCAGTGAAGATGTATTCATGTCTTAGAGCTCAGAGTAAGAGAGTCTCCTTGATGCAATTTTAAAAGTCTCATACTCATTATGAAGATACAGAATACTGATTATCAGAGTTGGAATGGACCTTGGAGGTCTTCTAGTCCAACCTCCTGTTCAAGCAGGAGACGCCATGCCCATTCCAGACAAATGGCTGTCAAATCTCTTCTTAAAGTCCTCCAATGATGAGCATCCATCCGCAAGCCCATTCCACCAGTAAATTGTTCTGTTAGGAAATTTCTCCTTAGTTCTACCTTGGATCTCTCTTAGATAAGTTTCTTCTTGCCCTGCCTTCAGGTGCTTTGGAGAATAGGTTTATCCCCTTTTCTGTGACAGCCCCCCAAATATTGGTAAATTGTTATGTCATCCTTACTCCTCCTTTTCACTGGACTAGACATATCCAATTCCTGCAACCATTTCTCAAATGTTTTAGCCCCCAGCTCCCTAATCATCTTTGTTGTTTTTCTTTGCACCTTTTCTAGAATCTCAACATCTTTTTTGTATTGTGGATTTTTATACCCAAAATTATGTAGGATTTTTAGAAGTTACAGCTAAAAATGCCTGCAACACCAAGTTATTAATCAGAAGGATACTGTGCTCTTTTCAAAAGATTCCTGCCCCCGTTCTCAAGCATTCATTCTTATATTTTCAAATTTACCAACTTCATTCCCTCTGATCAAACTTCAGCCTTTTTTTCTTTCTCCCCTCCCCCAACATCTTAAGAATAGTGGTCCCCAATTTTGCAGGGGAGAGAGGAGAACCGGGCCATGCAAACAGTGGGCCGGCACACATGCACATGCAGCTCAAGTCATGTGAGCTGTGGATCGGCATGCAAGCATATGTGCATGCAGCTCGACTGCAAGTGGAGCTGCGCATACATGCCAGCCTACCGCTCACGTGAGTCGAGCAGTACACGTGTGCCAGCCTACCTCTCACATGGGCCAGTTCCAAATAGGCCATGGCCTGGTAGTGGCCCGTGGCCCGGGGGTTTGGGACCCGTGTCTTAGAGTAATTAAGTCTACCTCTATGTCTTCTCGGTGCCTCTTTCGCTGCCAGAGAGATACCTGTCCCTTATTGTGGGAGGAATAGGAACTGGAAGCACACCACACAGATAACCTGGTAGGGGACAAAAAGAAAGTCAACTTCAAGGCTGGGTTATACTAACTTCTTCCTTTTTTTACAAGGTAGCAATTGCAGTAGCACTTAGACTTATATACCGCATCATAGTACTTTACAGCCCTCTCTAAATGGTTTACATAGTCAGCCTATTGCCCCCAACAATCTGGATCCTCATTTTACCGACCTTGGAAGGATGGGAGGCTGAGTCAACCTTGAGCCATTCAGAATTGAACTCCTGAAGTGAGCAGTGAGTTAGCTTGCAGTACTGCATTCTAACTACTATGCCACCACTGCACCACAACCAGTCTAGGAAATGGATTGACAATCTAAAATTGTATTAGGAAATCACAGAATCCTACATCATATTTAAAATCTTTCTATCAATAAATAAATAGGCTTCATTCCTATACTGGACCCAAACCCCAATCATTTACTGCTACCCCAGAAAAGAAAACTGTGATGTTGACCAATGGAAAAGTCTGTATACTGGGGGGGGGGGGGGAATCTAGTAATGCTTCACTGATACAACCATGGAGCAGTTTTTCTCAATCTGGTGTCCTCCAAATATATTGGGACTTGCAGCTTAGTGAAGACTGTGTAGGTATTAAGAGACTCAGTAACCTGAAATGAGTCACTACTTTTCATGAATGAAAATGAGTTACTACTTTTCAGGAAAATGTGTGTGTGAGAATACAGTTCTGAAGATAATATAGTGTCCTGTGATCTCAAGACATCATAGCACCTTTTCTAACAGGGTCTAACAGCTGGGTCAAAGACAGACGGATTTTTATATGTGTTAGTCTCAAGCTTTGCACTTAAAAATGTACAATTCTTAACAGTATATACTTTAATCTATATTAAAGCCTTGTTATACTCCATCAAAATATTGAAGCTTTTCATTATCACTATTTCATATTCCTTTACACTCAACAGAATGTACTCATTTGTAATTGTAACATTAAAAAACCTGACTATGCAGAATTTCCAGGAGGAAATAACACAATATATTTGTTCCATTTCCAAAATGATAAAACAATCAGAAAGCCCCTGTGCATTAAGTTTCATCTTGCTGCTATCCAGTTTTTTTGGTGCAGTTCATTGAGATCTGTCTCTTACTTGGCAAGGGCCTTGCCTGGTGGATCCATTAGCATATGCCATTTGGAAGAGTCTGTAAGCAAATTGGGCAAGATATGTCCCAAGAGGGTGAGGGTGAGCTGCTGCATGTCCAGGCAAAAAATAGAATAGAGCAATTCCACAGCTCTCATTGCATGCTCTTTCCGTGTCTCTTTCAGGAGTTCCTGAAAAAAGAAGAGAGGCAGCAAAAATAATGCAAAGGAGGAAAAGGACTAAACTTTGCCCTTATTTTCCACTGAATTATAGCAATCAGTGTAGGTTTTCACCCATCTGAATATCCTAATCTAATTTACACAGTTCATGCATTCAATATGCTAAGATCCATACATAAGAACTGTGATGATCAGACCAAAGACCTGTAGTCCAATATTCAGTTACTATAATGCCAATTAAAAATCTCAGAAAAACTCATATGTATCAAGTTTCTCTTAATTTAATTGTCACAGGTGGGCATTGGAGAACACAGATTTGTGGTAAGTTTACTGCAAGAACTAATGAAGCTCTTCCCATGATTGCTATGTATTAAATGCAAGCTGTATTTATAATAAAATAAAAGTTTAAATTCATGCAGCTTTTTCTCTTGCTCATGCAATGCAAGAAGCTTGAGGCATGACTCTTTTGAACAAAAATAACTACTTCTATACGTTGCTTACATTTCTCATGTTTTCCATACCTTGACAAGATTGTTGCAGAACCAATAGACACCACCCATGTGCAATAGTGTATCAAAGATATGAATAGAATGGCTGTCTACCCAGCCTTTCTCCAGGACCTTGGAGAAGACACTCATCAGCACTTCTTTTATAGGTTTCTTGGCAGGAAGGAGATTCCAATAGGGCATTGTGTCAACTCCTGTAGCTGGGAATTTAATCTGTGCAGCTGTCTGCTGGACAACATCAGCACACATGTGCTCAAGGATGGAACTCATGATCACCACTCTGGATAGGGAAGAGGATAAATATTCAGTTATTAATGTTCTAAAATAATCCTTTCCAAAAGGAAGTAGGAAAAAAAGCTTTTTAAACACTATAGCCTAGAATTGGGACAATCATATCAGATGCAGCTGGGGGAACGGAATATCCAAACAATGCCCTTGCTTAACTCTTTCTACAGACTACAGTTTTCATACTTTAAGCAGGGCAATGTATAAATAATGGACTAAAATTTAAGATTTAGAATTCAGTGCTATATAAAATACCTTATTACACTGAAATGACAAATATGCCAATAAGGAGAAGATGCAGATTGGTACAAAGTAGAACAGTAAACAAAATCTTGCAGCCTTCACCCTATATTTTAAAGCACTGTTCCCCACAGAGCAGTTTCCAAATGAATTTGAATAGAGTGCCGGGGTAGGCAACCTTGGCTCATTTATGACTCGTGGACTTCAACTCCCAGAATTCCTGAGCCTGAGCCAAGGTTGCCTACCCCTGCCCTAGGCCATGCTGGCTGGGAATCAGGAGGACTGTTCTCCAAAACAATGTGGGAAAAGGCTGATTAAATGCACTGTACAATGTTTTCCTCTTGAAGAGGCCAAGATCTGCTGTTTACCTTTCACTGTAGAATTGCAGGGTGTTCTCGCCATATAGGGGGTTCCCCAGTTGTCGAATCATCTGCAGTGACTTCTCTCGTTCATCTAAGCCCAGCATTCGGACATGAGCCACAAGCCAAGCCACAGCACATACTGCCATGCTACACACCTTTCCCTTGATATTATCTGCGATTTTCTGGGATGGGAGTGAAAGGGGTCATGAACATAACAGAGAATTCTAATACAGAGAGAAATTGTTCTTGCTATGGAACAGAGAGAAGAAGACTTAAACTGGGACAGATTTTTCAGCGGTATTTTTTTTTTTTGTAGACTCATGTATGTGAGACAGGCAGCCAAATACACTGAATAAATAAATGAAATAAATTTGGATGGAGTGAAAAAAGGAAGACTTTGGCTTCTGGTTTCCAGAGTTATTTTGTTAGAAATGTGGCAGCATATAGACCTATAATTAATATCAGATTAAAGTGATTGGGAACAAGGGTGTGCACACAAGACCTTTTTTCACATCTTATATGGAGATGTTCAAAATATTATTTTTTATTTAGTGTAGCAGCAAAGGAATGATAAGCATATTCAGATGAATATGCTTATTTACCTACATATATACATAATTTTTACTGAAGCTTTTAATTACAATAGTAAAAGCAAACACAAACTAAATTCACAGAGAAGAGAAACAGAAAGAATATAAAGAAAAAAACTGCAATAAAGAAAAAAAACATAAATGAATGACTTCCAATCTTCATCACAAATATAAACAAACATAATAACTCTTCACCTCCTATAAATTACAAACATGTATTTTTTCTCCCCATAACTCTTATCTATATGCAAAACCATAAATCATCAACTTTTCAATCTTGGTGTCAGCAGAAAGTCCATAAAGGGTTACCAGAGCTTTATAGAAACATGTCTTATTTTAATCTAGGTCAAATGAATCAACTTTATATTCCTTCCTTTTACTTCTGACAATTTTGATCTTTAATTCATTCAGGTGTTGTAGGATTTGGGCCCAGTTCAATTTTTTTCCCATTCCAAAGGCATCATCTAGGCTTTAGCAAACCTCTTTTGTAAATCCACTAAAAAGTCATTATCCAAGCCATTTTCATGCTTATTATATGTATTTCCACTTTGTTTCTCAAAGCTTTAACCAAGATTTTTTTTTTTTTGGTACATCCAGTAGAAAGTCTTTATCTGGGTCATTCTCTTGATTTGTTTGTGTTTCTAGGTTAGCTGTCTTGTTTGTCTTATAATCAACATTTGTATTGTTATTATTACTATTATCCAATATTTTTAGTTCTAATATTTTTGCATCAGGCAAAATTTGTTTCACATCTGTGTTCTTTCTTTAGCATCTTTTGGACATAGTCTATTACTGACACTACAATTACTAATTTCTGACTCCATTCTTTGAAAATCTCTTGGAGTATATAACTTTTTGTGTCAACTTGAAATCCCTATGATAACCGAAAACCAGAAGCAAGTTTATACTTTTCCCCTTTTTTTCTCTTCTGCCTAGTCTTTAGTCCTCTCTAGTGCCCAATTTCTAAAGTCATAAAATCTCAAATCTTTGTTAGGACTTGCAACCAGCACAGAACCTATGGCTGCTACAATACCCCAGTGGTCGTGTGACTGCAATCTAGGCAATCTCACTTACAACAGGTTGCCAAGTGTCCTGAGATCATCTGATCACCATCTGCAATTTTCCCTGTTGACTTTTCCAAAAAGTCAACCTGGTTGGTTCCTGGCTGAAATTCAACCTTGGATCTCAGGGTGGACCTTTTTCAGTCAGCCTCCCTGAAACCAAAAAAGCTGCTTTTGGAAAGATTTCACCCTGCACCAGGCAGAGTCTCTTCAAAGTAGCATTTTTGTTTGCTAAGCAATTGCTTAGAAGTTTGTTGGCTAAGAAGTCCCTTCTGAGAAATCTTTTTCAGCCAGTCTTCTTGAGAGCAAGAAACATTGCTTGCCAGAGAGATTCCGCCACATGTGGGGTAATTTCTTCAGCAGGCAGGAGGAGAACTGCTGTGCTATGCTGGACAACAGCTTGGATCACAAAGATCATAGTTCTTTCCCTACATCTAACGTCAAGTCAGGTCACATGATGGCCTGCTTTACAATTGTCACAACCTACGCCCATTGCAATTCCAGGCTCAACTACGGTCATACAGTGAATATTACCCGTATTTTCCAATTCTTTAAATTCTTAAACTTATTATTTTTTTTCTTTTGTTCAGGAATGAAGGTAAACTCAGAAGGGAGCTTTTCAAAGTTGTCATTCCAAAGATCTCTAATAACATTAGACAGTTAAAAAGGCAATTTGCAAAAGTGATTAGAAAATAAAGTTAGCGAATCCAGTAACCTTTTAAAGGTTCCACTGTGCTTGTGAGCATGATGGCTTGATCCCTTTGTCTCCCAGCCTACATACCAATTCTTTAATCTTTGCCACAACTGTCTTTTCTCTTGAAATTTTGCTTAGTTCCTCATGCCTCCCCCAGAAGTCCCTAAATATGCTTTTTTGAACTACATTTTCCACACTACCCAATCCTAGTGTGATTCTATCCATTCTAGATCTACTTAGCATATAAAAAGAATGTATCAACATACCAAAAATCAGAAGGATTATGGAATATCACAGTTTCAAAGTTCTGATGGATGGACATGCTCCCTGTGGTCATATGACTATATGTTAACAACTAGCCTGTATTTATGCCATTTGCAATGTCCTGCAATCACATGACCATGTTTTATAACATTTTTGCAGAAACCCAGCATTTCTTTGGCCTACAGCAAATAATGACCATGGTGTTCACTTAACAACCATAGCAAAAAAGGTTGTAAAAACAGATTTGGCCATGTGGTGAACAGTTTATAGCTGTCGTGAGTTATGACCATAATAGGCAGGCTTCATTATAGTCGTAAGTCAAGGACTACCTCTATTGTTGGACTGTATCATTTCAGACTCTCAACAAGAGAATCCACATTGGAAAATGTTCTCCTTATATATGTTTAAGACTATCCATATTACCCAGGAAGCAAGAATATGAAGCATAATGCTAAGCTACACAAATTTTCCCTGCTATATCAATGCTTTTCCCTCCCCAAAAACAGCACAATTCTAGATTGATTCAGTGTTTTTGAATCAATCTTTGATTCAGTGTTTCCCTTCAAATATTTCTAGCTTTTAAAGACTCTAGAGTGTCATAAATGTATGTTGATGCAATCTTTCGGCAAGACAGATACCTGGACGGATTCAAAGGTGAGAACCCCATTCTCCCAGGCATTCAGGATCTCCAAGATGGCAGCAGAGATGCTTAGACATGCTTCTTGCCATTTCATCTGCCTTCTCAGTAGTAGGGATATAGAAGGAGGCAAAAAAAGCAAAATGAATATAAGAACTTATCCTTATCCAGCTAGCCACTTCCCCAAATTCTTTATCTAAGAATTCTTAAAAGAAAAATAATAAAGTGGCTTGTTGACAGAGACCAAGCTACAACGATTACATGTTTGTTGGCAACAAACAGCTAAACTGGATTCCAAGTTCAATATCTTTAACTTTAAAACCATTTTCTAGCTAATTATTACAAACAATATATTAGTAATGCCTAACGAATCCTGAAAATTGAATAAAGTTTCTAAGTATCACAGGAAAATTCATGCTAGTCTTTTTACATGAATTGTTTTTATGTATAGTTAAAGATTTTCAGATATTTTGGGCACAATGCTTAACTCCTATTAATGCAGCCTGTCATGTTTTCTACCTTAAGGACTACAATTTTGCTTCAAGAAATTTCAGTTTAGGAATTTAAGATCTATGGCACAAAGGAAACATAAAAAATAGCCTCTCAATAAAAGCCTGTCTTTTATTTTCTTTTACGTTACTTAATTTTCAACCTGTTTTTTCGAAGACTAGGGGCTTCTCACTAAATACTTACACCAACTTCATTTCAGAAGAATTATTCAGCAAAGCAACCAGCGATTCCACCTTGGTGGAGTCAGGTCGGAAGCAAGGGTGGTCAGGGTTGAGAATTTTCCCTTCTTCTGGCATGCAGGTCTGCATCCAGGTCTCGAAGAAAGGCACTTCTCCTGGAGGGCTAGCTTCTGACAGGATTACCTGAAAGCAGCCAACCAAGCAATAATATAGCATGAAATTCTTAACTAAGGACAATAGCACCCTCTAGTGAGTAGCTGGACAACCATAGGATAATTCTGGAAATGATTTCACAGTATGCTACTTACTGCATTGTACAAATAGTTCATGGAAAGAAAAATTATTTCACTCCAGAAATGAAAGGAAGAGGCTAATTCCCCAAATTAACATAATTTGTGGGAGCAATTTAGAGTTAAATACATGGAGTAATTAAACTATCTGTATGGCTAACATTTTATTGCTACGGACTCTATTTCTCTTTAATGGCTTTTAGATTTACAATTGCTTTTATTAGTATACATAATACATTTCCTTCAGCAGTCTATTTGGAGATGTGATTCACTAACAGCAAACAAGAAATGTTTAATTTTACTAAATGAAATATATGAAATACTCGGTGAAATGACCATTGTAATTTTTGCTTTATTATCTCTTTTGCAATTTTATGGACAAGAATAGAATCCTAAAGATAATTTCGTTCCCCAAACCTCTGTTATTAGAATACTTTGATTACACCATTTTGCAGTACAAACACATGAAGGTGAAAATTCTAGGTAATGCTTCATTTTGCAGTTTTAAATAAAGTTATCTTCCAATTCTCTACCCCAACAGCTCATTTGTGTCAGGGACCTCGATAGTTTGTAAAAATATCCTCTTTAAAATGCTCATAACACTCTATGAACCCCATTTTAGCCCAGATGACAGAATGATGAATACTTATTGTATCCAAGGCGCTCAAAGTGGTTCTTTATAATTTCCTGAACAATTTTATATTTCTCTTTTGAAATAATTTTTATGACCCGGCCCCTTTGGAGAAAATTCACTACTGTCCCAAGTCTTCTTCAATTTAAGGGTGACTGTAGATTGGTAGAATTTTAGAAATGTTCGGGTACGTTTTTCTACAGGCATCAACATTATGCTCTAATTATTATTCTTTTAAAAAATACTCTGTTAGCCTTCCCCAATCCGGTACTGTCCAGATGTTTTGGGAATATAAACCTCAAAATCCCAGCCAGCATATATAATACTAAAGTGAAAAGTGTAGGGAAGAATGGCAAATAAAAGGTATTCTGTACAGTACACGTTCAGGAATAAACATCTGAGCATGACCTTGTTCTCAATATTTTCTTTATGTGATGTAATACAAAATGTTACAGAATGTTCCTACCTCAGAGCCGTAGGTCTGGGCAACATGACACAGCATAAGGAATGAAATGTCGAAGAGAAGTGCTCGGACTGAGGCTCCCTTAGCTAGATTTCAGATGGAGCAGAAAAAGATAAAAATCAGAGCAATTATCATATGTAAATCAAAATGTTGTTGAATGATGGGCTAGGAATACTTTGTAGCCACCATCACACTAAACGGTACCATTAATGGAATATGCCAACTCATTCATTTTTATTTCTTTAAATAAATAAAATCTCATCAATGATGGTCCTTCAGATAAATGGAAATTTGATTTCCAAAAATTTTAGTCACCACAGCTAATACTCTGCATACAACTTCATTTATTTATTCATCTATAACAAAATATTGACATTTTGTATCTAATTCTACCAAGGAAAAAAGGATTCTGAAGCACAGGGCACGAAACATTTTGGGAAACAAACAGTTAAACACTTCTATCCATCCCTTCCCCCAAATTTCAAGTATTTTTTTAATGAGATATATAAATAATAAAGAAAGCTGGTATCTTTTGCTCTAATTTGTGTATAGAGGTAATCACAAAACAAGTTTTAAATTATATTGTTATGCTAAGTGACAAAGGAGAGAACAAAAGATGCTATTAAAAGACTGATGGAAAGCCTGCTCAGTTCCATTTTTCTGGGTTCTGAAATTTTATCAACCCCTCTGGAATGATTTATGATTAAAATACATACAACTTCTAAAACAGCCTTCCCCAAACTGTATTGGATTTCAACTTCCATAATCCTTGGCTGGAGGATTATAGGATCTGAAATCCAATTTATCTTGAGGATAAATATAATTTAGGAAAGCTGCACTATTTGCACAAATGAAAACAAAACAACTCTTTCAACAACTGCAAACTCCTTGCTGATTTTGTCCAGTGGAAGGTCAGAGAGCTCTTGCGTGTGTAATCACATGCAAACATATTCAGACTCCTTATCTTGGACTGAGTGGGATTCAAACATCACTCCATCCAAAGGACTTGAACCACATGGGTACACAAAGCCTAAGATGCAAGGGGAGGGGGTGCAAAGGAGGAGGGAAGGAAGCAGACACACAGCTGCAAGTTAACCCTTTTTCTTCAGAATTGAGCACCCCACCCAAAGCGCACAAAGTCACTATTCTTGGGATTGGAGGAAAGACTAGTGCACGTGGTAGCCAAAAAGACAAAGAGACCCCAGTCATAACTTGAATGTCCCCCTTGTTGCATCAGGAATGTTGAGCTGGGCCAGCCTACGCTGCCAGGCACCATGCTCACTTTCAACTCTTCCCTGACCCAGGCCCCCTTCCCTGGCAGCTTTTTATGGTTAACCCATGAAAGTCTGTACTTCCAGGGTTGGCTATGCAGACACTTGATGGCAGAAAAAAAAAGACAAAAGGAAACAGGGACTTACAGCTTTCTCCACTGATATGTTTGGTAAATTCATTGAGCCTGAAATGTGTAAAGAATGAAAATATAAAAAAATTCACTTTAACTGTTCTTTAACATTTTAAAAACCTGGTATCTTTAATGTGCAAAACCATTTTAAAAAACCAGGTAGATCATAATTATTCTCATCTTCCAAATGATGCAAAAACAAAGTCAGAATACAGGAATTCTGTACCTTCAGATTTTGGTAGGCCATTATTATTAGACATTATTTTGCTGTAGTAATTCTCTACTTTGTAGCAATTATATTCAGGTAAAATCTTCCCAACCCTGCTCCATTCTCTAGTCAGCTGCAATGTCATAATAGTTCAAGACCTCTGGATTTTTCTTTTCTAAAGTTGGAAAAGTCCTGGCTTGGTGAAAAAGCCCTTTATTAGAAGATCACTCCTTGGCCTCTTCCTGAAACCAGTCTTTACCAATATTGTAGATGACCAAAGATGATTAAGGTTATAGAGCCGCTCAATCCAGTAACTCCCCAGACCTTTAATGTGCCCTACATAGGATATGTAATGTATAGAGCTGGCATAAAGAATACTTATTTCTAAAACGAAGGGAAGAGAAAATAGATTAGCTGACTATAATTAGCTCTTAAACTGCTCTAAGGCAGGACAGCAGAATACATGTCTTATGAAACAAAGAAATAAATAAATTTGATTGAGGTACTTTTCTTATGAATTCTTTCGTATTCTACTCCATACAGAGAGTGGTAAGGACAGCTGAAAAGATTATAGGAAGCCTGTTTCCCATTATTCGGGATACTGCTTATAAGTGCTATGTGTTTAGAGATCAGAGCATTGTTAGAGACCCCACACACCCACTTCACAGTCTGTTTCTGTTGCTCCCCTTTGGGAGAAGGTTTCAAAGTATTTATAGCAGAATTATTAGAGTCTGTAACAACTCTGTTCCTTATGCCATCCATCTTGTAAATTTGCAGGATTCTTTTTTCCCCATCATTTATATGTATATATTCGAACTAAACTGTGATGTTTTTCTGTGACAAATATGTGTGAGCATGTGAGTATATGCAAAATGGTATTTTTTTGAGAGCTGAATGCAACAAAATTTCATTTTAATATATGCTGGTTAGTGTACATTTAAAGTGACAATAAAGTTTTTATTCTATTCTATTCTTTTCTGATTATATTAAATTGAATATAGTATCAATGTATTCTTTTCTGATTTTATTGGCATTATATTTTTGGTTGTATTTTATCATATTATCTGGTAGTTATAATTCACCAATACATTTTTTTAAAAAAAAAGGCATCTCTAAGGCAAAAAGGCAGCAAATAATATGGTAATAAATGTTACTCAAGAGTTGACTGTTGTTGCAGTTATTTGATTACAGCCAAATAGCACAAGTGTGCTAGACAAGAGATCTGCTGCTTACTGGGCAAAAATCTTTACTAAGGGATGTAAAAAGGTTAAATCATGACAACTACTACTAGTTACCATGATTTAGCATTTTTTTAGATGCTTTTGGCCTGGATGATTGAGTCTTCATTTACATATTTCTATTAAAAGATTACTAGACATTGAGACAATATCTGAATTCACTTTGGCCTTGTTGTTGGTGTACAAATCCTCCCATTCTTAAATTGATTAGAAGCATTACAACTTGGAGTTCTAGGGCTATATATAGAAAACTCCCAGAATCCTTCCAACGATTGCCATTAAATTATAATTTTTAATCAGAGAGGAAAAGTATAACAAATTCAGATGATAAATTATCAATTGTATTTCATTGATTAAATATTAATACTTTTAAATAAATAGAAATCACATTTTTAATAATTCAGGGGGGTGTTTTGAGTGTTGTTCCCAGCAAATTAAGGACACTCCTGGCTTAGAAATTATTCCTTCTTCAGGCCAACTACATTAACAGACCCTGTGAACTTTGACCACCAATTAGTCTCTCCCATAGAAGAGAATATTGTAGCTCAGGGTTGAATTTTGGGGTCCTCGGTGCTCTCCGAGCTTGGTTGTTTTCTTGCGGATGTAACTAGGTAACATCATCAGTGCTAGTAAGTGTTTCTCAATTTATATTCTAGTGGTTTGGTCTGACAGTGTTGGTAGGAGTGATCTACCAATCTATCATTACTAGTCTATTTGTACAAATTGTTTCTATATAGAGAGATCACTCCCACCAACAATGACCAGGGCAAATCACTTGTATATAAAATGAGAGCAAGCTCCATTCCCAATTAGCACTGTTGATGTTACCTAGTTAGGTGATGAAACATCTGCAAGAAAACAACCAAGCTCAGAGAGTATCAAGGACCCCACTATTTTCCTAGCTTGACTTCTGAACTGTGTTAAATTATCCAACTTAATTATTTTTTGTTGCTTGTGCCATGAATGAAAAACTGGAATTATTAGCTGACTATAATTTGCTCTTAAACTGCTCTGATAAATGCTGCTAGGCTAGTTTCCAGCATAATGTCAAAAAATACAGGGCGGAGTTATTCTATCTTCTTTAGCAAAAATGGGAGAAGCAAATAAACTCTGCATTTATTTAGTGCCTTCTGTATTATTCACATGGTAAGAGAATGTTTGTGAATCTCTTGTTGGAGCAGTATGACCTACAAAGTTATCTCAGCTTCATCTATGACCTATTAGTAGATAAAAAGACTTGGTTAAACAGATTACGCACAAAAGAATGTCATGTCTTTATGGAATATATTAAGCCAATATTCACTGACTTATTGGAAGTCATATGGAATTTTAGATTTATTAACTTGTGGCACTAACAGCAACCACTTTAAGCAAGCATTTCCAGTACCTTTTGATCATATAAAATTGGAAATATTTTGGCCCACCACTCTTTACAGAACTGCTTCAACTCACTGATATGTTTGGCTGTCTTACATAAACTGCACTTCTTAGATATTACTGAACATTTGATTCAGCCATTCCAAAATATTAAACTGCTTTTGCTTCAGCCATTTGGTTGTAGATTTCCTTTTGTGGGCTATATGACCTATATTTATTTAAGCTTCAGCTCACAGATGAATTGGATACCCTGATAGAATTTGTTGATTCAATCTAGAATCTATTATTCCTTCAATTCACCCCAAGGCGGTAAAGCAGCCCCAAATCATGATATGCCCATGCTTTACAGCTGAGATGAGGTTCATTGCAGCATCTTTGTTTCTCCCAACATAACATTTTTCATTACTATCCAAAGGTTCAACCCCTCTATCATCAACCAGATGGTCTTTAGCAAACTTAAGACAAGCAGCAATGTTCTTTCTGGAGAAAAGTATTTCCCTTTTTGTTTTCTTCTGTTCAGTTATGTCTGACTCTCAGTGACTCTCAAGGAGACTGGGCAAGACTTGCTAAGATTTTTCAGAAGTTGATTATCAATGTCTCCTTCCCAGGGCTGAGAGAAAGTGACCAGCCCAAGGTTACCCAGCTGGCTTTGTGTCTAAGGTGGAATTAAAACTCAAGGTCTTATAGTTTCTAGCCTTGTGCCTTGACCACTATATCTAACTGGCTTTTGGGTACCCCCCTATATATGTACATCACTCTTATTCAGTGTTTTCCTTATTATGAATTCAAGAAAGGACTGCAGAAGCTTTGTTATTACCCTGGAGTTGAATAGAATAGAATAGAATAGAATAGAATAGAATAGAATAGAATAGAATAGAATAGAGATGGAAGGGATCTTGGAGGTCTTCTAGTCCAGCCCCCTGCTCAAGCAGGAGAACCTATACCATCTCAGACAAGTGACTGTCTAGCCGCTTTTTAAAAATCTCCAGTGATGGAGTACCCACGATTTCTGGGGGCAAGCTATACCATTGGTTAATTGTCCTCAATGTCAGGAAGTTTCTCCTTAATTCTAGGCTACTTCTTTCTTTGATCAGTTTCCAACCATTGTTTCTTGTCCTGCCCTCTGGTGCTTTGGTGAACAACTGAGTTGCTCTCAGTCTCCCATAGTATTGTATGTACACTTTGTTCTTGGGGTAACTTTCATAGTATGGTATGACCATTCATAGAAATAATAACAATGAAGCATTTTCTTTATTTGTATGATGATGGACTGATGAAGGCCAAAGACTCTAACAACAGTTCTGAAACTCTATCCATTTTCTTGAGCACTGACAACCTTTTTCCAAAGATCTACAGAGATCTCTTCCATACGGGGCATTGCTGACTTCCATAAACATATCTTATAAAAAAGACTCTGATGATGATGATGATGTTTTTTTAAAATACAGGAGGAACCCTCAAGTTTAGATCTGATTGTCATCTCACTGATTGGAAATCTAATTCAACTTACTCGTTTATGAGAACTGATTATTTTATGCTTTACATAAGGACAGTTAATGTTGGCTTGAATACATTCAATAAAGATCAGAACGCAATAACCTGTTCTAGCTGTTGTTTATTTAACTAGAACATCTTTATTTATTCATAGGACTTAGATAAAATTCTGATCACAGTGTAGGTGGCAGTGTAATCTACAAGGATGACACAGTCTATAGTTCTTTTGCTCACAACTACATAGCCTTTAAGTTAGGGCTCTAAGGCAGGAATGAGCAAGGAGAAACCCCATTTTTGCAGTTTCCAACTTTCTGTACCACTGAATAACAATGGGTCTTTTAACTCTATGATTTGCGGGGGGAGGGAGGAATCTTTAGATGAAATACAATCCTAACTTTCTAATAATTAAGCCAATTTTAGTTAAAATCCTCATTAAAAAGGGGGCAGAAGGAGCAAACAGAAAATTCTGTCTCCTTCCAATTCAGTAATGCTGCTGTTTTACCACTATGGCTCTTAGTTTTTCTCACAAATAATTTTTGAAAGTGTAATCCTGAGTCACAAAAAGATTGCCACCTGCTCCCTGTATCAATTTACTTAAGCAAAATGAAGTTGTCACATTGCAATTTCCATAAGCAACTCCATAGCCAGGAGCAAAGAGTCTCACCAAATGATGGTATTACACCACACTCTTTAGTTTATCAAAGGATGGGGGAATAACAGACAATCCTGACTTTCAATAACTAATCATATACACTCACTTGATGAATTTCCGAGCAAAGGATTTCAGCTTTCCTGTAGCTGCTGCAGCTGCCAATAGTAGGTCCAAACTCTTTCCTGAAAGCATATGGCCCAAGACTCCCAGTAGTCCTTCTGGAGATTTTGAGTGATCTGAATCCATTGTCTGTTGTAAAAAGAAATAAAATAAGGATGGTGGATCTAGATGCACAAAACATAGAGATTTGACTAAAAGAAAAATCAGCTTCTAAATCTTTAATAAAATGAACCTAGATATGTAACCACACAGGAAGCAAGCACTGAAAGTTGGTATCCAGCCCAGACTCCTTTCTTCCTTAAAATATTGTAATCTGATATTGTTAAGTCGGGGGCCCAATTTTACCTTATCTCTGCCTACACTTGCAATGATTTTTAAGATACTGTGGGCACAATGGCACACATCAAAATGAAAATTTGTTGCCCGCTCTCAAAGTGAAACACATACATGATGCACACCTAAACATACTATGTACAACATATGTATAGACCCACATATACATAACAAATAAATATTAAATACTGTCCATCTTTAGTATCTAGTTTTTCTCCCCTTATATTTAAATTTGACAGCCAATGTTGAGGCATTTGGCTAAAAGGACATTTAAGTCGGTACTTTATATAGTTTAATCTTGTATTTTATCACAAACAGTTCCTATACTTAGTTCTGAATTAAGTGAAGAGATATTAAATGATATATGCTGGCTAGACAGAATTATTAAAGTAGGAACAGAACTAGAATAGAATTTGATTCTACCTTCATTTATATCATCACATTCAGGAATTTGAACTGTGTTTGTCTGAACCGCTCACAGTGTTGAGCCATAATGTGCTATAATTTTGGTTTAATCCTATGGGAGAACCAAGCCGCTATGGCTTTTCTAAGAAGTACCAATCCTAACCTGATATTATTGTAAACTGACTAACCAGAATTATAAACTACAATTTCAATTTGTCTTATAATCTTCAGGTGATCTGTGCCAACTAGGATTTAGCATGTGTGTTGAATGGATAAAATGAAGTTAAATCTACTGCTTTATTCCCAGAAATTGCTAAAATGTTTGTGTATTTAAAGCTAACTTTACAATTAATGCACAACCAAAAGGAACCCTTAACTATCAGGGTTATAATAATAATTTTTATTTTGCGGTCACAGACCAAAATGCAAGTGCAACAAAAAAACAACAACACAAGAAAAATATAATCACAAACAATTAAACACCAGAAGCCTTGGCTAAAGGGAATTATAACGTTCTCCTCTAATAGTTACAGCTCTTAAAAGAAATTTAGAAACCTGAGAAGTAATATAGGGGGAGCCATCCCCTAGACAATATAAGACCAAATTACTAACATTGGAACCAGAGGGATCAATTCCAAGGAGAGACAATAATTTAATTCTGCCTGTGTTATACATAGGACAGTATGATAAGACATGCTCCACAGTTTCAACTTCAGCCCTATCACAGGGGCATAGTCACTCACTAAACAGGAGCCTCTTAAATCGCCCATCGAGTAGTGCTGAGGGCAAGACATTGAAACGGGCCAGGGAAAAGATTCTTCTATACTTGGGGATGGTTAGAGTATAGAAATATGAAGCCATCCTCAGTCCATAATTATTGGAATGGCTGAAGATCAAAGGGGAGCAGGTTTTGTTAGCTCTGGCTCTTAAATATTGCAAATCTATGTCCACAAGCCGTTGGACTACCCTAAACTGGGCGTCCTTGAGACCATAATCTCTCAGAGCATCCCCCGTAAAACCTAGCAAGTGGAGTTTCTTCGTCAGCTCCCTCTCCCAACGAGAGGTATCAGGGGTTTTTTTTGGGGGGGGGGGGAAGCATGAACTGAGCAAAAAGATTCCTCACATTAATTGAAACAAAATTGTAATATAAATTTATATAATTTTATAAACCATCTAATCTTGTAAAATCATAATCAATCACTTTGCGGCTATATATGCGAAACACATATGTGTCCCAGGATAGCTGAAACAATTTCTTTAGTTGGAAAACTGGTTCAGACTCCTTTTAAGCTATTAGGCCTACTGTTAACCACAATAACAAACCACATTACAATCCAAAAATAACCCTTACAAAAATTGTGTTAAACTTCTTGAAATACAGCCAAAGAATTGCATGCCCTAGCTATGTTTAGTCAGAAACATGTCTGTGTTGAAAATACTTTAATCCATGGAAAGCATGCATAGGATCGGTACCAAAACAGGACCTACTTTTAAGATATTGGTAACAGTGGGCTCTGCTCGCAAGATAAGGCCTGGGTTGGGCTGAATGTTAGCATTTTCTGCAGATTTTAAACATGGTGCATGTTCTCGATCAGCAGCCCTGATTGGGAAAGGAGGAAAGACATACAAGGTTTTATAAGTATGGTGCATTTGACACTTTTTAATGTATAAGTAAAACTCAACATACTTACTGGTCCGTAGTAATGCTATTCTAAATTTAATACTGTTGTGGTTAGCCTTAATAATGTTTCTACATTTTTATTAAATGAAACACAAAAATATGACAGATTTAGAATGAGATTTTACACAGAAAGGTATTTTATTTGAACTTAAGATGTGTACTTTCATATAATAAATGCCTTCATAGTCTCAAAAGCATGAAGAAAAATGTTATTGGATTAAAACAAAGCAATCTGCTTTCAAGATTTTTTTTCCCCGAAGGAAAAATATTCAAAAGAAGAAATCACTTTCAAACACTAATATTACATGGTCAAGAATATGAGAACACATTAATATTCTTTTATGGACATGCATGAGCAAAATTTCTCACATCAGCTTAAATGGTTGAAAATATTTCCCCCTAGGAGTTAAGAAACTTGGGGAAAATATATGATTCCTGAAAGGCTGAAGGGTGGCTTTGGGCTCTGGCAACTCAGCAACAAACTTACTCTCCACTTCTATTCCAATTCCTGATTGAAACCTAATAGAGGATTAGGGGGAGGTTTAAAGAGAGGTATTTCTAATGGCCATCAATGTTGTCTTTTTACTTGAACTTGACTCTTGCTCTTTTCATGAAAAGGTTTTTAAACAAGCATACCTTTTTGCTATGAGATTATTCATATTGGCTTCAGAGAGCAGACCTTGCTTGCTACATTCTTGGAGGAGGAAGTTTGTGCAGTCACAGCTAGAACAACAGAAGAAACTGATGTACAAGAAATATGGCAAAAGACAAAGGTGAATGTCATCTGGCTTAAGTGCTTCCGGTAATGGTCAGTTTTGCACATCCTTATGAATTTTCTTAAGGGAGTAGGTCAACTTGCTTTAAACAAGGTTCTAAGAATGGGTAACTTGCACCTTCAATCAAGATTTAAAAGCCATTTGCAAACATTCCAGATTGTTGGTAAGACTTTACTATCCTTTTTCCAATAGCCTGTCTTTTGAGGAAAAAGGAGAAAAAGGTGCTGGAAGGGAGTTGAGAAAATAACAGCCCCACCCATGTTCAAGTTCTAGCTTCACTCACTGCTTGCCTTAGGCGAACATCAGTAATTCATTTGGAAATGCAGCTCTTAACAGAAAATAAGCTGCCCACCCAAGTCTAAAGGACCAGGTTCACAGGTAAAGAATCCAGTTTTACCTCTGAAGATTTTAATAAGGCATAGATGTCTTTTTAATCAGATAAGGCTAATACCTCCACTGAAGTTCTAGTCCACCATCCACGGTGACAGTCTGGCCACAGTTATCTTCTTGCTACTAACAATGATGAATACTTCTTTACCTGAGGGTCACCTTCTCCTCAAGTGGCCATCTCCCAACCCAGTCATGCCAACAGTTTTCATCCTGTCTCCAATCTCCCCTTCTGCTGGGAGATTATTTATAAAATGAATTGTCTAGATCCCTTCTGGTCAGAATTCAAACTTGGACATGAGGCACAAATTGCATTGGTTGCTCTTGTGGATAACTTGTAGCAATTCATGGACAGGGGAGAACAGCCCTCTTGATTCTACTAGACCTGTCAAAAGTTTCTAATACGATCAATTCTGGAATCCCTCCAGGTGAAGTGCAAAACCTAGGAGTAGGCAGCATTGTTCTGCAGTGGATCCACTCCTTCCTGAGCAAGTGATTCCACTTGGTGGACTGCCCAATCTGCTCACTCCCATCTACATGAAGTCATGGGTAGAATTATCTGTTGGCATTAGGTGAAGTATCAATAAGAAAGTATATTTCTGCTGTGGCTCAAGTAGGCAATGCAGAAGTGCCTGGAGGTTGTTAAGGTTTGATGCTTTGAAGACTGACTTCCTTAATATATCTATAGAATGTGAATTTCTGCCTTACCTAGCTTTAAATATATATTCATAAGCCTCTCAGTCTGATATATATATATATAGGTTAGGGCTCCAGGTTTCCCTTAGATCAGTCCTTTTACCTGCAATAGCCAAATCCCTCTCTCCTTAGTTGCTCCTCCCTCCAAAATATCAACCAAGAGGAGATGGTCTGTGTTAACATGTTGTGATTGATATTTAATACCCACTCACATACCATTAAGCACAGCCTGATGCTACAGTATACTACCCTAAGCATCACTGAGGGAGTCCAAATTGCAATGCATTATAAAGCTTCTGTGGCATTTGCCTGCTCAGGTAAATGCTGCAGCAACTTCATAATATATCACTCTAAAAACCATCTCAAAGTGACATTGCTAGAGAGCAACTGGGGAAGAGGTTTATAGAAGAGAACATCTGGAGGAGTAGCAAATCCTCTTTTGATCTCAGGCAGCTGTTGATAGTCTGTCTCCAGATTACATTCTTCTAAAATGTATAATACATAATATTGCCTTTTCAGATGTTAAATAAGGCACATAGTTCCACACATATCTACTATGCTATCACAATTCAGTGTTGGGATCACAAAATATAGTGGGTTGAAGATACAACATAAAACACTCCCTTTTAAGGAATTATGTACACTACCTTTAAAAGCTATCTGTAAAAGGCCTTTATCTGAATGCAACTATTTCAGTCTATAATTAAAAATTTTCAAGGTTTAGGAAAATGCTGAAACCCAAACAACAGATGTAACATCAAAGCTGTGTCGCCAAGACTTCAACCTTCACAATGGGTGAGATATCCCAAACAGACAGAGAACATCAAGAAGAAATAGCCTTGAACTGAGAAAGGCAAACTTTGCACAACAAGGAATCTGCCAGGGCAAGACAACCTAACATCTCCCCAAATATAAAAATATAAAAACTAGGAGAAACCTGTATTGAGTAAAATACCTTTTTTTTATTCTCATAAGATTAGCCATCTCAGGCAAATCAATTATTCTAAGCATGAAAAGACACAGGATATTGATAATATGTTATGAATTAAATAATTTCCCCAAATTACCGAATTATTTTGCAAAATATTTTCAAAAATTATTGTAAAGAGCCTATAGTTATTATTCAATAATGATTTTGGTCAATAATTTCTTGTTAAAGTCAAATCTTGTCCCCCTCCCCTTAGTTATTGAAGCTATATTACCCTCTTTTTTTTTGCAGTTTTCTGACATCTTCCCTTCTATAAAATCAAACTCATCACATTTTGTAAAGATTGTAGAAGTTCATCCTCACAGCATTTCTAGTAAATAGTCGGTAGCCTTCTGTTCCAGGCATCTTTCCTGTTTTAATCTTTTTTTATAGTTTTGCAAACCTCTCTTATTGTTAGAATTCATTCATCTGTACATGAACCTGCCCTCATAGAGGCTTTTCACAGTGTGCCCCAACTACCTGCAAAGAAGTGGCAAATGATAAAAAAAAACCCTCTCTGCGGAGATGCCTTCTTTAAGAACCAAGGACAGAAATTTCCCATCAATGCTTTTTGGTAACAGGAAAAGACTTATTTTCCATGGCCTTTCAACTATGAAAATATTGGTTTCATGCAGTAAATATTGCTGTGCGGTTCTGTTTGTTGCTTTACACTTTTATTTGTATTTTAATATCTTCCTGATATGAAGGACCAGATATAAAATTGATTCTTTCTAGACCTTTCATCGTTAACAACAATAACAACCCAAAGAGGATTTCAAAAGCAGCTTCCAGCACTTGGTGGAAATGGAGTCAACAATAGGTTAAATTGACTTTATCATGTTCAGTTGCTTCCTGTCCTTCCAGGTGGTTTACATAATGTCAAAGTAACCTCCCAAAGTGCTTGTGCAGAGTTAGGCTGAGATATGATGATACAGCTAAGTTAATTCAGTCAGTTTCCTGACTTCTATGTCCTTTTCACCTAGAATTGTCAGTCCAATTTTACAAATGCTAAACTTATGTCCAATCTTCATCATTCCTACTGCCTTCTAAATGTATATACTGCAAAATCTGTCATTGGATACCAAATTACCAGTCTGTGACTATTATATAAACAAGGTTCATTTGTACTGTCTGCTTGCTTTAGATACAATAGTCCTTGCTTATTGGCTGCCTTGCTTAGTGACTATATAAAGTTATGATGGTGTTGCAAAAGACAGCTTTGCAATCAATCCTAACAATTATGACTGTCAGAGTGTCCCGCATTCATGTGATCACCATTCAGGCATTTTGCAACTGGCATGCATTTACAACTGTTGTAGCGTCCCATGGTCATATTTGCATGCTTTTGAAACAAACAGAATTAATGGAGAACATGAAAGTAAAATCGTCAGTTGCAGTCACATATCAGTCAGCAGCTGCTTAACAACAGAATAGGAAGTAATGCTATAACTCTGTTATGATCATCTGATTTTCTACTTGGCAATCGAATTGCCAGTACCAATTTGTGGCAGCTAAGCAAGGACTGCTTGTATTCTGCAATTAGCCAATGAATCAGAAAAGCAGTCCCTTAAAACTAAATTCAATGGACATCTCTTAACTGCTACCCAACCTCTGACCTGGTTCATACATTTATAATAAACTATGGTTCATGACTTTTTAAAATACAAAGTATTATACAAAATTTTGTAAATGAAATAAAACAAACCCTTCTCTAAACTATTAATGCAACTATCTAATTTTACTTAAATATAAACAAAAACTTCATATCAGTTGTGTTCGATTTCTTTCTCTCTTTGCACGTAATATAGAAACTAAGGCCTAACAGACATCGTGTCTTCCTCAAACTGGCTACAAAATTTGAGGAATGGAACAACCCAACTCACAATAGGGTTCTTCTCTTCTATATAAACAGAATACATATTGGTAAGCAAACGTACATCAGTAGTTAATTAACTTCAGAGTTTGATCTGAAACTTACCATATTTTCAATTATTCAGACCTTGTCAGGTAACAATAATACCTTGTTTAACAGGCTAATTTTCAGGATTTAGCCCATATGTCAAATATACTGGCTGCTTTCCCCATTATTAGCCCTCCTCTGAACTACTATGTCTAAATACTGTCCTCATCTTAATTTTCCATTTTTTTCCCATCTGGCTATCTCTTTTCTCAGTAAACGAATGGGTATTCACTTACTCTTAAAAACTAAAGCCCAGTTGAATGTATGGCCGATATTTTGCAAGTCAGGCATGCCATATTCCTGGTAGCACTGGAGTCTTATAGTCATAGAGACAGAAATTCTAAGTAGAAAGTTCTACATATTCTGTGTGTGATGTTACAACGAAAGGGACCTACTTGCACCGTTGATCAGCTTTATCCAGGAGTGGTGTCAGCTTCAGCAGAAATTCAAAGGCACAATTCACATCTTCTGTGAAATCCTGCAACAGCATAACAGTACAATAGCTTCTCCCTTAGATCTTTAAAAATCTAGGAATTGAGCACTGGTAACTCTACCCCTAATTTGTTATAAATTTAAGCTGACATAGTGCATTTCAATAAGATTTACTGCTCAATTTTTTAAAATAACTGGAATATGCATTTTTTATGTTTAATGAGGTTAAAAAATAATTATTTCCCATTTGATACCCTGATAACTTTTTCTGTTTCTTTTTGTAGTGTGCAGAGTGAAATTTTATAAATGGATGCTTCTTTTCCCCTACCTTTGTATGTGATAAATTGTTATCTATATTTTATGCAATTACCTTCGATTAAAAAAATTATTGCTGCTTTGCAAAAGACACTCTTTAATTGTTTCCAGCTTTCAGTGGAATTTAATTATGATGGGTGGGCTTTGTGTGTGTGTGTGTGTGTGTGTGTGTGTGTGTGTGTGTGTGTGTGTGTTGAGGAGGAGAAGCAGAAGTAGCAGCAGATTATAAAGATTTCCAATTTCAAAAGGGAGAATCTTAAGAAATCAAATAAAAGCTGTTAGTGAGCATTTAATTTTCTTTTAATTTTCTTCAAAGTTCACGATAAGGCCTCCTAAAATAAATAAGGGACACAAAGATTCAAATCTCAAGTCAGTCATAAACTCACTGTTAAGTTTCCTTTTTGTTGTAATAATCAAACCAATAATAAAAACTATACTGCTCCTCAATATAGGCATTTCACTCTTAGCAGTCACTGATATGGACATTTTCACAGTTTACATTAGACATGTCAAACACAAGGCCCGCAGGTCACATCTGGCCTGCAATGTGGTTAGATCTGGCCCGTGGGGCTGCCCTGGAATCAGCATGGGACTGGCCCTCGCCGCCTCAGCCCTCGCCGAGCCGGGCACTGATCTACAACATTGTGGTGGCCATCCCTGCCGTAACTTGGTCAGCCTTAGATCCGCGTGGCCGCCCTGGAGACGGCGAGAGGCTGCCCCCACCGCCTCAGCCCTGCCCCTTGGGTATACACACAGGTGGCGAGCGCATGGGGGCTGGCGTCCCTGGTGAAAGGAAGCACTCAGAACATGGTCAGCTTGTGGGACAAGGTCACCAGGAACACCAAGCCCCACGCGCTCGCCACCTGTGTGCATGCCCAGGAATGGGGCCAAGGCAGCGGGGGCTGCCCCTCACTGTCTCCAGGGCAGCCCTGTTGGCCGGATTTAAGGCTGACTGCCTTCTGGATGAGATGGCTGCCACAAAGTTGCAGATCAGTGCCATGCCCGCCACCAGTGCCTCCATGGCCTGCTCGCCGGCCTGGCCTCGCAGCCCATGTAGGAAAGCCATGGCCACCAGCTGCATGGCTACTGGCAGCGCTGCCAACCTCTCCCCCTCCCCTCGTCCCTTTCTGGGCACGGAGGGAGGGAGGGAGGAAGGAAGGAAGGAGATGAGAATGAGGGGGGAAAGAGGGAGGAAAAGGAAGGAAGGAAGGAAGGAAGGAAGGAAGGAAGGAAGGAAGGAAGGAAGGAAGGAAGGAAGGAAGGAGATGGGAATGAGAAGAAGGGAGACAGGGAAGGAGGGAGGGAAACAGGAAGGAAGGTGGGAAAGAGAAGCAGGGAGGGGAAAGAGGGGGAGGGAGGGAGGGAGGGAGGGAGGGAAGAGATGGGAATGAGGAAGAAGCCAGGGAAGGAAGAGAGGGAAGGAGATGGGAATGAGAAGGAGGGAGGCAGGAAAGGAAGGAGGGGAGGGAGGGAAGAGTTGGGAATAAGAAGGAGGGAGGCAGAGAAGGAAGGAAGGAGAGAGAGGAAGGAAGGTGATTGCAATGAGCAGGAAGGAGGCAGGGAGGGAAGGAGATTGGAATGACAGGGAGGGAGGGTCTGAGGGAAGTCCTGCCTTAGCACTTGGCCACCAGCAGCCTTGCTGCCCTTTTGCCATCCCCTTGCCCCCTCCTCCTCGCCTCTCTTGGGCGTCTTCCATCCTATCGCTCAGGATGCTTTGGTTACAAAGCCGGGTCTCCTCGCATGGAGAGGGAATGGGCCTTCCTCTGACCCATGCACTTTGCCCTCCCACACCCACCATGAGCAATCTGGCCAAGGAGAGCGAGTACAACAGAGCCTCAAGGAGTAGATAAGCTCAGCCAGGCACCTCCTTGAGAAAGCCATGCTGGGCTGGGCTGCAGGGTTCTGGTGCCCCAGGAGGTTGAGGGCCAGGCTGGGCGTTTGCCCTCTGCTGCCCAGGGTTCTCGGCAGCCCACACTGCCATGCAGGAGTCTTCCACATGGCCTGAGGGGGACGGTAAGGCTCCTCTGGTGGACTGCACTTTGGCGCTTGCCCTGGTCTCATCTTCCTCCGCTGGAGGCCTCTGGATCTCCCCTTCCAACCTCACCTGCTGTGTGTGGTAGTGTGGAGGAGAAAGTTTGCAGGAAGTAGTTTCCTTCAAGTCCAACTTCTGCTTGACAGATCTCTGGAAAGAAGGAGTGGGTGGCGGGGGAGCTGTGGGAGGGAAGGTTGCCCCAACAAGTCAGCATCCTTACCACACTCAATTGGAAATGGGGATTCCTTTTGAGAAGGGCCAACCTCCCTTGTGCAGGACCAGAGAATGCTGTTCCTTTTGCTCTCCAGAGATCTGTCAAGGCAGAAGTTGGACTCGGAGGAAACTGCTTCCTGAAAACTTTCTCCTTCGTGCTTCCCACACGCAGCAGCATTGTCCTCTGCCTCCTGCTTTGTTGCGAGGGACACAGACAGGGAAACGCCAATGGGATTGGGAGAAGAATGTCTCCATTGGCATGCTGTGCACACATATGCACACAGACACACATCCCATTCCAAGCTTGGAGACTTTTATCCACATCTGAGCTTACAAACTGCCAATCATGCCTGGGCTTAGGGAGAAGGCCTCTTCTTCCTCTGTGGATAAAAATCCCCAAACTTGGGTGTGTGTGTGCACGTACGCATGTGCTTGGCTGACAGCAGTTTGGGGAGGCAAGGAACTTGTCTGGTGTGACTTGTTCTGTCCTGACTCAGCTGTCCCAAGTCAGCCACAATGAGTAAGCGGCATCGGGGCGGTCACGCCCACCAAGCCACGCCCACCTAGTTATAGCAACCCAGCTATTGGCCCTTTGAGGGCAACCATAATGCTGATGTGGCCTTCAATGAAATTGAGTTTGACACCTCTAGTTTACATGATCACCACTAACCTAATAATTTTCATTATCAATTGGGAGGTTATGGTCAATTTGTTTCTGTTTTCCCAAATTAAATATAGGAAACAAAACAGAGCACTAACATAAAACCTAAATGTCACTCTGATATATTTTTACCTTTTCTCCTGGAGAATACTTTTTCAGTTTCACCAAAACTTGTGGTATCTAAAAAAAGAATAAAATTAGCCACTTAGGAATCTTTATTCCTAGTCTTTTCTCCCCATCCTTTTCTCCTCTGTCCTCCTAATGCAAAGATCTTCATGTCCATCTGACCCTGTTTATTCCATATAAATCTATTCCCATTCCTCCCATAAACTTTGTATCATTTTTCAAGATTCTCCTCCTAAGCAACTATTTGTCAGGCAGCCATTTGTGTGAAATGGTATAGGGTTTCCTGCCTGAGCAGGGGGTTTGACTAGACTTAAAATGAAAAAGATAAAAACTAATACAAACTAGAAAGAATAAAAAAGAGGAACTACAGAAAATAAAAATAGAAAGTAAAATAGAAAAAAAATAATATAATAAGGAATTTCATAATTTCTCTCTGGACGAATCACTTTTGGATATTGTTTTTTAACTGCTATTGATAACAGTTATTAGGAAATTCTCGGTCAATACGTTTTACAGCACTGGGTGAATTTCCTTCAATATTCAAGGAAAGAAGTTTTAAATACAAATTTAAAGACTTAAGAAATATTTTGGAATAAACTGTGAAAGAGTGATTAGATTTAGAACTTTGATTTTGGAAAGTTACAAATGGACTAAAGATTCAGATGGATTTGAAATAAGATTTTGGAATTAATTGGAATAATCTTTCCTTTGGGAAAATGCTTTTGTTTTGAACTATCTTAAAAAACATACAATAGGATGAACTTTGAAGGTTGTACATTAGAGGGAATCAGAAGGTGTTAAATATTATAACTAAAGCATAAGAATATTTAAATTTGACTTACTAATACAGAAGGGAGCAACATATTTTAATACTGAACATATTGAACGATAATTTTTGAACAATGAGTTCAGAAATTACTTTTAATACTGTCTGCCTCTATAGATAGACTATGTTTAAAAGATGTCAAGAAAGAGGAACAAGTTATATATGACAAGATGTGAAAGTGGATTAAAAAAAGATAAGTTACAAAAATGATATGGGAAAAAATTATTACACTGCACAAATTAAAAAAGCCAGTTGATATTATAATAATTAAAAGGGATATACAAATAACAGACCAAAACCTGGCTAATTTTCCTATAATGGATTTGTCAAAGCTCCTTCTAGAAGAAGGACAAAGAAAAAATAAAAATAATTCAAATTTTAAGAGATTATTTGAAGGGATTAAAGATCAAGGCTGTTAGAAGTAAAAAGAAGAAATATAAAATTGATTTATGTGATCAAGGTTAAAACAAATATATTGTTCTCTCTGGTAACCCTTAATGGAGTTTTGCTGATAAAAAGGTTTTTTTTCTTTTTTCTTCATCAAATGTATATCCTGTCTGACTCCCAGCAATTCTGGATATTTTAAAAATTGTTAAAACATTTAAAACAAGAAAATAACAACAAAGGAAGAGTAAAGATGGAAAAATGACAAAACCAGATGGGGAACAAAGAAAACAATGCATACAATCTAAAGAGAGCTTCAGCCATTCACCAAAGGCTTGGGCAACAATATTTGTGAACATTTTGTGACATTGAAGTAACTCAACTAATGCCTCAGGAGAGTTTCAACAAGAGCTCTCTATTATACACCATGCAATTAGAAATTTCTATATTCTTGGAAGAAATCTGAAGTTCTTCTGATATGATGAAGGTAGAAAAGCCAGATTTAATATCTCTGCTTAGCTATGACATTGGCTGAATATGAATAAGCACTTGAAGACTCAACAATGACATTGTGGAGAAGATCCAAAAATAATAATAAAGGAACGCTTTGAAGTTTTTAATCTGATTTTCATGCAGTTTCACAAGTTAACTGTCCTATCTTTTACTTTATTTATTCCATAATATTCCAATTTGTCCACAGGCTGTGCCTGTGTATATCTGTTCGTCTTTTTCATGCTTAATGTATTCATCTCTGCATGGACAATTGGATACATGATGTCCTTGAGCTGCAGTAGTGATTTATTAAACAAGCCAGGAATGTTAAGTTGCAATTTGTTAAGTCTCTTTTGGGGAATCTAGTAGCGTCATGGTGTGTTTACCAAGAAAGCCAGGAAGAAGAAAGACATAGCCATCTGGCTTATGTTTATATTACAAAAAATATTATGAAGCTAAATGCAGATTTCTCCGTACTCCACCAAAAGACACCAGCCCAGAAGAAAGAACAAAGAATAACCTGGGCTTCAGGTCACTAGTATAGCAATGAATGTCACCAGCTATACAGAGAAACAAGGCTTGTATTTATGCAGAGTCAAAATCAAGAATGATTATGGATGCAGTACCTAAAGAAAGATTTTCCATATAGATCAGATAGGCCTGTAAATATCCTTCTATTCTAAAAAGAACTTCTAATCTTTGGTATACTGCCCCCAGGAGCAGCTAATTCGGACCAAGGTCCCCAGCACAGTTTGATCTGGAGTTGCCAAGGGAAGTAAACAATTCCCCTTATGTTGGAAAATTCATGCCATCCATGAATAGGGTCACAGCCAAAGTAAGTAAGATAATTCCATGTTTTCTTTCTCTTTACGTCATCCACTTTTTCTCTCACCTTTCTGCTCCCACATACTACTCCTCACAGGGAACAAAAAAGATATTTTGTCAGACACCTGAACAGACTACTTATGGTGGATTTTTAAATTCTCACTGAAGGCCATAGGAAATCAAAGTTAGGACCCTCCTGGTTTAAAAGCTAGCACTGAATGGTCATGTGCTTGAGCATTCTCCATTTTCATTCCTCTAAAAATAACTTTTTTCAATTGCAGAAAAAGCAAAAACAAACTTACAAAAGCATCCGTAGTTCATACTGTATAGAAAGCTAAAGAGCCACCTAAATGCACTTTTGACACTGCTATCATTCTACAATAAATTTCTTCTTCACTCTACAATGAAGAAGAAAAAAACCCACAAAAGTAACTAACCAAGGAAAAGATGTATGTAGGTCCATAGCTGAATGAGCATGAATGGGTTGAAATGCAACCCATTTACTGGATATTTAATCAGGTTTGTGCAATGCCAGAGAATGTAAGAAAGCTTGCAGTAAATGGAGAAAAAGCAAACAGCTATGAAGCATATATTTGCAAAGGAGTAATACAGATTTTGGAAATAGTTCATATTAAATTCCTTTTGTTTACCTAAATCATACCATTGGAATAAACAAAGACGAGCAACTAAACAATTCTCCATTAGGAATGAAAGAAACTGCTTTATATCACCTCAGACAAGTGGTCTGTCCAATTGAATTTGGCTGTAATAAGTTCAAGTTTCATACATATGTTTTTCACAGTTGTGTGTGTGGAAATGTCAGGAATTGAACCAAGGACTTCTTGCACACAGAGTCTCCTGCTGAGATATTGTCTTTTCTAATTTTTTTTTAAAAGCCAGATGTTTATCATGAACATTCCTTCATGACAGCCTTTCGATCAGAAGCCTACTCAAGGCAGCTAAGCCCAGCTGTCTCTCCCTGACATTCAGGCTTACCTTGAGGAAAGTGAAGGCTGTCCATTTCAGCTCTTCCGTCCCTTCAGGAGATTCAATCAGTCCCACAAAGCACGCTTTCCAGATTTCCAGAATGAAGAGTGGGGATGGGATACGCTAACCAAGAGCAGAAAAAACCCCCCCAGAAAACTTCAGGTCTGACCAAAACAAAAATACTTATAATATGAAATGACCTAGGCTTCACCATAAGCTAAATATGTAAATGTATAGACTATCCATAGCTTTTCTAGAAATTCAATTTCACCCAACCTCAACCAAACAGTACAGATTCCTGCTCTCTCAAAATGCTTCTTGCTACTAAGAATTCAAAAATCATTTGGTAGCCAATGATATGTAACAGAGTTTCTGAAAAGAGAAGCATCTTTCTTTTTTTTTACAAAGCCAATTATGTATCTTTCATTCCACAGCAAATGAAAAGGGGAAACTTTCTGTCAGGTCTCCAACCTTTGGGGGCTGATGGACCTGTTTGACATTTTAGAATAATGTCATCAATTTGCTTGCAAAAAAGGTAGGGAAAAGCTTTACCATTTAAAAAAAAACCAGGTGAAATGGTGATATGGCTAGTTCCACACTACCACTCATCCTAAAAAAAGGAGACTGAATATGGAACCCCAAGAGAACCAAGAATATGTAGTAGCCAAATGGATATCAGGGATCCTAATGTTCTAGAAAGAAGGAAACTTCAAAAAAAAATGGAAGATCAAGATCAAGTATCTCATGTCTCTCCATTTCTGGAAAGGAGAATAGATGTCTGAGATAGCAGATATGGAACACGTAAAAAGACACATGATTGTGTCCTGGTCTCACTCACCAGCCTACCCACCAAGAAATTCCTTAAATAGTTCCTCGTATGTCACTGTAGCCTTGTTCAAAAAGGTGGCTCACTCTAGTCTAGATAGTTATTATATAGTAAAATAATATTGGGCTGTACCAACTCAGAATGAATACAAGTGAAATGTCCTAACCTGATATTCCATCACATACATATGTTCTGCATATAGAAGACTATGGCTAGGTCATAAATCTGGCTATTCACAAGTTTAGCTACTGTACATTGTTGAACAAAATGAAACAATAGGCTCACACATGATGCTAAGCCATTTGGTAGGGGTCAACACATACATCATACAGCTAACATGGTTATGTATGTTGTATGAACCTACTCTTTTTTGCCAAGACAGAAGAATTCTAGCCAATTCTACTCAACATGGTAAGCAATAGATGCTTTTTTATTAGACAGAATCTTTCACCGATAGTTGAAAAAATATATAGTTGAAAAAATATATATTCTACCATATTTTATCTATAGAGGATCAAACAAAAAGACAAGAGAATTCCTCTATGATCCATTGATACCTGCATTCTTTTCACCATCATCAGTTGTTCGACTAAAGGCTGTGGTTCTCCAGTCAGATTCATGGTTCCTTCTAGCAGCACCACAGCATGTATGGTAGGGAAGCCTGTTTTGTTTAGCTGTTCTGAATGAACTGAGAGCATGGTAGGGATACTGTACAGAGAATTGTGACACAAAGAAAGAAGATATGGTTTAACTTTACTTACATATGAAAAGGAAAACTGTTTATTCCTTAACCTGTGGCTGTTGTTTGCTTACCTTCTGACAAGATTAATGCACTCTTCCAATTGATTCCGCAACTGATTGTTGTTAATATGTCCTACATTGTCTCCCAATTTGGCAAGGGACTGTTCAACTGCATTCCAGGAAGCTAAACAAAACACCATAAAGGTTACATTTTAATCACATAGTTTGTCCAACAACCCAAACGAACAACAGCCCCAAATATATATATATATATGCGCACTTAGTTTCTCACACACGTACAGTTAGAAAATGACTTGAAATTTGGCAGACTGCAACCTGGGTGGAAAAAAGGCAAAGTGATAAGTATGAATCTTATTGAGTATGTTTATTGCTCATACCCATGAATAGTGATGGACAGGATCAGAGACAAGGATAAGACTTCCAGTCTCCCTGGTTTTTCTAACAGCCTCACCTATTTGCAGGCATATGCAGTTTTTCTGGATTTAAAAGACGTGTATAAAGATCTGTTTTATATCAATTCAGTCTATTCATCTGCAGCTGCTATCCAAAGTCCTAACTTCATCTAATCTAACCAATCTTATGTGCCTAGATTAAGTGTGCTATTGTTTCCTTGAGTTTCAGGGAAGCGATGGGAATAATTATTAGGTTTATAAAGTTTTGTGGCTCCACCACCAAAAAAAAAAATATCAGGATCACTAAGAGACTTGTTGTGCTGCTTCAAGCCTTATAAAGAATCCCAACAAAATACTTCTATCATCAATTTAATTCAAGGTGCACAAGTGAGTTCGAAGTCTAGAGACTAAATGTTTTGTATTAAAATCTGCACTATGTTGCTCTTTTTATAATTAAAAAAAATAATTTTCCTATATGAACACTGGCCGCATACATGTATCTTCCAGCTTGGCGATATGAATCAGGGCCCGATTTTTGGTGCTCGCCAGGATTTTCACCAGACGCTCCAAGCACATATTGAGCTGGTTCTCTGCAGCCCCCTGTTCCAGCAGTTCTTTCAGCTTTTCTGTATAGAAGGCAGCACACCGCAGCATCCAAATGAGAACATTCATCAGGGCACGACAGAGGCCAATACATTCTTCTGCCTTACCATGGCAGCTGCAAGGAGAGTAAGGAAGGGACAAAATAAAGCATCTCTAGCAAAAAGACTATCTTGCTTGGCATGCAGACATTTACTGCAGAATTTCCATGATCTTCAGAAACATAAACTTAATCCTAGCTTCTTTGGAGGGGTGCAGGAGAAATGCCAAAACTGACAAAATATATCAGAGAAAAGGCTTCCCCTACTTTAATATGGGCTATGATGCAAAGAAAGAAAAAAGATAAGAGACAAGGAAGAACCTGAAAGAAAGCTTCAGTTCTCATCATTATTCAATTGTCATGGTGGCCAGATAAATCTCAACTGTAAAGGAGAAATGATAGGGCGATCCTATTTCTGAAAGCCCTAATGATCTTTGTAATCTTCTTTCCACTTTCCTGCCTATTATTAACTTCCCAGTTTCATAGCCATTTCTAATTCTTAAAAGATCACATTGTGTAAGGTCTTCTGGCTATTGAGTCCAATCAAGTGTATTTGATAATATGGCTTCTATACAGTGAAAGCAGGTAAGTGGAAAGAAAGTCATGGATATACTTTCCTGTAGCTACACCTCAGTTGTAATTTAGCAGGAGTAAACTCCCTTTATGGAAATGATGAATCCAATAGTGAAAGCAGTAGAACAAAATGGTGCAAGAATACAAGCAGCAACACTATGGTCAACACAGTGGTTTAAGCCTCAAAGACCTGTAAGTACCCAACTATGAGAATAACTTGCCAATTAGAAAATGCCCATTTCAAATCTTACTTCAGTAGTGAAATTGCATGAGTGCTTAATCTCAGCCTTCCATCTGCAATGTTAGCATAGGATTGCTACAGCATAGGATTAATCTGAATACCCCAAAATATAAGATAATGTAAAGCGTTATTACTTTGATTTCTCTAACCAACTTCCTGTCCACTCTTTTCTTTTGGGAATCTCTCAGCATCCCAGGAAAGAGTAAAATATCAGGGAATTTATATTATCAACCAGAGGTATCAAAGTAGTGACATCAAACATCTTGCATAACATGGCACCACAGTGCAGGTTGTCGCTTTCATTACAATTCATGCCTTTATTTAAACAAATTAAAAAGATAAATTATTCAGTCATTCAGTGATTAACATAACTAGGCCCAAAAAGCAGATGGGGACTAAGAGAAAAATCTTGTTGATGGGACAAGTACTTTTTCAACAAGCAGCAATAATCTCGGAGCTGAAGGGTTCTGATCAAATTAAAAAGCAGAACATTGAATTAAGCAGAGAAAGGATTAAGTATTGGGCTTTGTATCTGGCTGTAACAGGTGTTTATCAGTGTTCTGTGACAATTTAATATTCATTGTTTCTATTTTCTTATAGGAAGTTTCTGTTTCCTCACATTTCAATCCACTCCAGTATCCTCACCTGCTACCTCTATATAACACATTTAATCTGAATTTAGAAGTAAGATCTTTATAGAGTTTTAATTCTTTGAAATCAAAGATAAAATAAAGTTTAAAAAAAAGCCTTACCTACCAATTGTGGTTCTCCCAGGAATATTGGAAATGAGGTAGGATAAATTAGCGTACATGATAGTTATATCTAGATTCAGTTGCTAATTGCCTGGCTTTTTAAAATCCAAATGCTTCTCTTCACATACACAGCACAGTATTTTTCTTCCTTCTGTTCTTTTTTGTATCCTTTTTTGTTTTTTTTAATCTAGCTCACTAGCTTAAGCAATTGTTGAATATATATATTGCTGATACCACAGCCAGTTATCACAGGTAGATTAGTGGCTTCATAATGCTTGAAGATTGGACCTGACTAACTATGTAGCTTCTCCAATTCAGACATGCTTGTTTTCTTGCAGACATTTCATTACCCAAAGTAGGTAACATCATCAATGCTCCTAGCACCCTAACTAAATGTATCATTTTGTTTATCTCAGTGTGCTTATTTTCAGTTCCATTTTCAGTTTTCACTGTGTTTCAATCTTCTACTTCTTTTGAGGTCTTGTGTTCTCCATTTCTTTAAAAAAGAACTTTAGTTCTTTTTGTTAACAATGATTCTTTCTCTAAGAATCACTTGGCTTCAAAGATTGCAAAAAGGATTTTGCTTTTGAGACAGTGAGTTTTATCAAGAGTTTATACTGAATAGAAAGGACCAAAGAGACGACACCATCTGGGAACTGAATTCAGTCCAAATATTCATACATAAATACATTTTTTACTGTAACATCATAATTAAAAGACTGATCCTAGCAACCAGCAGGCATTTGATAAGCCACTGCCCAATAATGCTAGTCTCTCATCTATTCAGAATTACATTCAACACATATGCACCTACGGATACAACTCATTCCCTACCTGAGACGGTCACAGAACATGTCCATAATTTCGAGTAATGATTGGACACAGAGATCTCGGGAGAAGTCATCAAACTAAAAGAGGGACCACAAAAACATAAACTAGTCTTAAGTAATACAAAAATTAAGGTATGGACTTGAATCGTGTAAGGTTAATGTTTCTTATCATTTTTTCTAAAGCAATTTGATATTTTAAGAGTCTTACAAAGTATTAATAATTATGTTCCCATTATGTTTTATCAAAATGTCTCATACTTTATATTTTACAATTAAGTCTCCAAAGTATGTTTTCTGATTTATCAAAATATCACCAAGTATTGCCTTTTTAAATGGAGATGCAGTCCAGTCTAAAAACTGGAAGACAATTACCACCTATTGAATCTTTACCTTTTATATATTTTTTATTCACTCTACCTGGCATAGATTTTAAAAAACTTCAGTCACATATGATTGTGAATCTTCCTGCAAAATGGATGGGACCAGGCAAGAAGGGAGGAGACCAGTCATTTTAACCCAGTCTTGCATCCAGTGAATTAGGTTCTACTAGCAAATTAGAAATTCTGAAAATAAATGCTGGAGGAAATATAGAGACAGTCCTCAACCTATGACTATAATTGAGCCCAACATTTTCACTGCTAAGTAAGGCCGTTGTTAAGTCAATCATGCCCTATTTTACAAGTTTTTTGCCATTGTTATTATGTGAATCACTACAATCTTTAAGCAAATCATGTGGTTGTTAAGAGAATCTGGCTCCCCCCACTGACTCTGCTTGTCAGAAGCCTCCTGGAAAGGTTGCAGGGGATAATCCCAGGACCCCGAATGCTACAACCATTGTAAATACATACCAGCTGCCAATCACCTGAAGTTTGATCACATGACTGTGGGAATGCCCAATGGGCATAAGTGTGAGAATTGGTCATAAGTCATCTTTTTCAGTATCATTGTAATTTTGAACAGTCATTAAACAAATGGTTGTAAGTCACACTACACTACACTCTTCACTCTTTTGATTTTGACTGCCATCTGCTAGTCAATAACACTTAAGATAGGTTCCCTCATTTTGTTATATCATTGTGTGCTTAATGTTACTGTGCTTTACCAACTCACAATTAACTGGGTTTATACAAGCCATATTATGCAAGCCATATATTGCATTGTGATTTGAAAACTACAATAGCTGAGTCTATATAATGATATAAGCCAAACTGTATAAGCTGTATTAGGATCAGGAATAGCCATAAAAAACAACAGGGTGATCTTGGGCCAGTCACTCTCAGTCCAACTCATCTCACAGGGCTGTTGTTGTGGGGAAAATAGGAGAAGTAAGTTGTGTTGGATATGTTTGCAGCCTTTAGTTATTTGTAAGAATAATAAAGGCAGACTACAAATCAATCAATAAATAAACTTGCCACAGTGTTTGAATGCAGCCTTAAAACATAATTAAATACATGCTTCTAGATTTAAAGTCCCAAGTTTAATCTGGGAAATGGCAAATAAGGCATTTGCCCAGAGTAAGGTGATCAGAATTACTGGGAGTCGAGAGGTGTATGCACTGTATAAATATTTCTCAGGAAAGGAAAAGGAAAAATATAATGATTGTGGTATTTGAGGTCTCTATTTTCACATACCCAATTCTGAAAGGGTTCCAAGAATATGACATGAAAGCCAATCAGGCTAATGGAATATATCTGCACCTCATACTTTTATGATTTTTTAAAATGAAATGCATATACAGTATATGTTTCTTTGTTGAATGACTGAGGAAAGAGAAAGTTTGTTGAAGACAGGTCTACAAAAGGAAGCAGATGACAATTAGGCAATGCTGCCAAGTGGTTTCTGCGGACTCTGAATATACACTGGTGCCCTCTATATGAGCCAAACCTGCAAAGAATAGAATGACAAAATTCAGAGAAGGGACACAGAAATGTTTGAATACTACCTTGCTGATGGCCATCAGAACAGTCGAATATGACACCATCTGTAAACAAAAGGGGGAGAGGGTTACAAGCTAAAGCTAATATTTAATCAAACCCACAAACAAGGTCTGCCATTTCAACTGCTGTGTGAAGGGGGTGACAAACAGCAAGGTCACTTATCAGCAATACAGCTTTGCTGAAGCACTGGCCTGGCACAAATTTAAACGGACATTTTTAGGCAATGGTGTACAGTTTCACATCAACATTATAGTGAGCAGCACAAGAAAAAAAAGGAGAGTTTAAAATGAAACCAAAAAGCTTCTCTTATGGCAATGTTACCAAGAATATCGCAGCACTGGGGCAATTCATAGCAATGGAAAAGCACTCACCTGTTTCATTTTGGGAATACTATGATAAGAAAACACATCACCACCACAATCATCACAAAACCTGTACAAGTACAAATACTACTACCATTGTAGAGGGGAAAATCCATGTTAGCCCAAAATCAGTTGGTTAGCTCCATTTAAAACTAACTAATTTCTATTTTAAGGCATAGGCTTCCACAACTCTTTTTATTTTTTTGGCCATAAAATATATTTTTTTAATTTTTTTGGCTACAAAAGTAGAAGTTCAACATTCATGTTTAAACCATTCAACCATTCAAACACCCTCTCCTCACAATAAAGCCAAATATCTGCTGTAGTTCTACAGATCAGCAGGAAAGCAACTGATTAAGATTCATTGATTTCACTAAAAAAAAGTTATTCTCAAAAATTAAAGAGGGCATGTGAATAAAATCAGGGGTAGTTTCACAAACCTTTCTTACAATTCAGCAAAATGAAAATAATTTACACAAATTAAAAAATATGAAATTTGCACACTATTTTAAAATTGCGCCATGAGCTACTTAAAACTGGATTATCTCAGATTTTTTTCAATTTTTTCAAAGATGCTTCAGTCCTTCACTTACTTCAAAGATACTTCAGTCCTATAGCTAAAATAATATTTAATCCATTAACATTAATTTACATCCTCTGAAATTGAAAGGTTTTATGATGGGATTATTACCTGAGAACTGATGGCATATTTCAGATAGGACAGGAGTAATGGGTTTGGCGATGGGCCAATCATGGCCTGTTCAAGAAGCGCTTCTGTAATTTAAAACAAAGGAAATTCTTTCTAGAAAATTACAATCATTTTCACAAAGAATAACAATGACCATAATTTGATCTACTAAAATCGCTCATGCAATTAGATCACTTTGAAAATTTGTGATTTATCTATTTTGGAAAAGGCAATGTTTTCTACTAATCAAAGGATGCAGGAGGATGGTAAATTTTGTGATATTTTACAATACTGTATTAAAGTATTGCATTTAGTAAACCAGTGAATATCAATAAATATAAAATGTGAGAATTTTTTCTTTCTTTTTTCTTTTTTTCATAGATTATATTCTTTTATTTAGATTATTTCTTTTCTAAATTTGTTTTGGTTTTTTTTAATTTAAAGATATTTGTTAATTATGTGTGTTAAATATCTATCTATATAAATAAAAATGTAAATGTTCGTTTGTTCAAAATCTTAAATCTCCGAAAGTTCTTCAACGATTGCTTTGAAATTTTGATACAACGTTGCATTCGAATACGCACATGTTTTTATATACCTATATTATATAGATGTCACACCTGTGACAGGTAAAACCATGCTTTTTTTGAAAAACAGTGCCATCGGTTGGACATAAAAGCAACACACGCTTTTACCAGACTGAGCCACAGCAATGCGTGGCCGGGTACAGCTAGTGTTAAATAAAAATAAAGAACTGTATACATTTCTCCTACATTCCTCTATTTTTAATTAATTAGATTTTTTAAAACAAATATTAAATTTTTTTATATAACTTAAAGACAAATACAGAAATATATAAAGAAAAGAAAGAAAAAAGGAAAAGGGCAGAAAAGAATACAATTAAAGAAAGAAAGAAAAAAGATAGCTAAGAAACAATTTCTTTATAGTATTTACAAACTCATTCCCGGATAGCCCTCAATTTAGAGCCACTGTTGGGACCGGAACGTCTTTTGTACAGTAAGTCATTGCAATTGAAAATCAAGTGAGATTCAGTTTTATAATAACTTTTATGGCAGTTGTTAAGCAGATCACCACAGTCTTTTAGTGATGCTGCAACCAATTGTACATGTAAGTCAGTTGCCAAGTGACCCAAAAGTGATTGTGAGACTGCAAGGGTGGTATAATAGTTCTAAGTGCAAGTACAGGTCATAAGTAACTTCTTCTAAGGCAGTGGTTCTCAACCTGTGGGTCGGGACCCCATTTGGAGTCGATCGACCATTTCATGGGGGTCGCCAAGCAAGGCTGTCCGCCATTTTTTTTGTCTGCCATTTTTTTTGTCCGCCATTTTTTTCCCCTTTTCCGGCAGGTGCCTTCCCTTCCCTTGGGCTGGGCCAGCTGGTGGTCGGCCTGCTCCGTCTCTGCCGCTTGCCAGCTATGCCTCGGCCGGCGCAGGGGGCGGAACCACGCATGCGCGGCGCTCCCAGGCAGGGAAAGTCCTCGACTTACGACCGGTTGGGTAGTCCTCGACTTACAACCGGTTTAGTCCTTGACTTACGACCAGTTTAGTCCTCGACGTACGACCGGTTTAGTCCTTGACTTACGACCGGTTGGGGTCGCGGCATTAAAAAGGTTGAGAACCACTGTTCTAAGGCCATCATAACTCTGAACCATCCTTAAATGTACAGTCATAAGTCGAGGACTACTAGTGGCCCTCCTCCTTCCTTAAAATTACAATAGTCTCTTCAGCCCCTTATTGTTTTTTAAAATCATCAAATCTAGGAATCATCTAGCACTTTTTCCATTTTGAGCAAAAAGTCTATAAAAGGTTTCCAGGCTTTCATAAAAATACTTATTGTTTCATCTCTGACCAAACAGGTCATTTTGATATTTGTTCACAACACATTCCTTCATTACAGATATTTCAATATTTCTCCCATCTTTTTGAGTATAGAGATTGTCCTCAATTTACAACCATAATTTATGTTAAGTGAGAAATTTGTTAAGTGAACTTTGCCCCATTTTATGACTTTTCTCGCCACATTTAGTAATAAAGTAATAAAGTTGGAGGGGACCTTGGAGGTCATCAAGTCCAACCCCCTGCTCAGGCACCTAACCCTATACCATTTCGGACAAATGGCTGTCCAGTTTCTTCTTAAAAACTTCCAGTGTTGGAGCATTCACTGCTTCTGGAGGCAGATTGTTCCACTGGTTAATTGTTCTAGCTGTCAGGAAGTTTCTCCTTAGTTCTAGGTTGCTTCTCTCTTTGGTTAGTTTATTAAGTGAATCACTGCAGTTCTTAAATTAGTAACATGATTAAGTAAATCTGGTTTCCCCATTGACTTTGCTTGACAGAAGATCACAAAAGGGATCACATGACTCTGGGACATTGCAATGGTCATAAATGTGAGTCAATTGTCACGCATCCAAATGTAAATCACATGATCATGGGGTTGCTGCAATGGTTATAAAGTGAAAAATGGTCATAAGTCACTTTTTCAGTACGTTGTAACTTCAAATCATTATTAAATAAACTGTTGTAAGTCAAGGACTACCTGTAATAATCTTGCTGCAGTTACCATATATAAAATCAGTATTCCATAAGCCTTTTCTGCTTAATTACCCATAGGTCCCAATAAAAAGAATTCTGATTTCATCTCAATATTAATCTTCAAACGTCTTTGTATCATCATCTATATTTGTCTCCATTTTTTTTCATAAGTCCACAATGCATGCAAAATGTCCCTCCATGTTTTTCAAATTTCTACCATTGACTTGAAGTATGTTTATATAATTTAGATAATTTCTCTGATTTCGTATTCCAGCAATACATCATTTTGTAAGATATCTCTTAAAAAGTATAACACAATATGAATTTCAACCTTAAAGTTAAATTTCAACTTTATCCACATTCTCTCCCTCTGATCCACCTGTATATTGTAACCAATATTCTTTGCTCCTTTTCTCCTGCAATCTTTAATTTGTTCCTCTTCAATTTCAAATTTCAACAGTTTATTTGGTTTTGGAATCATTTGTTCATCATTTGTACACAATCTATTTCAAATCCTGCTTTATGTTATTCAATCTACATTAAACTTTTTATCTACCTTAAACTTTCTCTTAATTGTGCATATAAAAACGACTGAAAACTAAATCCCTCTGCAGTTAGTTAATTGTTCTCTTAAGTTCATCTTCCTGTATTACTAAGTTTTTATATATTAACCATTTCTCTTTGTCTGCTGTTTCTCATCTATAAAATATTTCCACTGCGGGAAATATTAATTATTTGAATGACTATATAGATGAACATAAAAGGGCACAGGAAGATTCTTCAACATAGGGTGTTCTATGGCTTTCCTTAAATTTTCCCTAATAAGTTCTTTCTTATCCTCAAAATTCTATTTATTCTATTTCTAATAAGGCCTCAATTTCGTGTTTTAGAAATTTATTTATCTGCATATTTATTTCCCATGAACATTAATCACAATGTCACAGATTATCAGTATTAAGCTACTTGCAAAACTTCTAAAAATTATGAGAGTTTGAAAAATTAACTATTAAAGTCTATTTAAAATTTACGTGCTCTAGACCAGGGCTTTTCAACCAGTGGTATGGGTACCACCTGTGGTACATTGGCACCTGGCAGGTGGTACGTGACCATCCTAGAAAAGTGGTAGCAGGGGAGGGGAATGAGCTGAACTGGTGGCAGCACTGCACAAGCCTGAGCGAGAGCTGGCTGGAGCTGCAGGCTGTCAGGGCTCAACGGAAGCGCCAGGATCAGCGCCAGGCTCCAGCTGGAGCTCGGCGCTGATACTGGTGCTTCTGCTGAGCCCTGATTTACATTCAGATGCTTGGCAACTGATTCATATTTATGCTCTAGAGTCTAGAGCATAAATGTGAATAAGTTGCCAAGCATCTGAATGTAAATCACGAGACCCTGGAGATGCTGCAACATTCCATCTTATCAATGCTTCTTCTGGGCTCAGCAGAAGTGCCAGGATCAGTGCTGCTTTCCAGCTGATTGGTGCTTCTTCAGGGCTCAGCAGAAGCACCAGGATCAGCACCGAGCTCCAGCTAGAGCCTGCGCTGATCCTGGCACTTCCGCTGAGCCCTGATAGGCCTGAAGCTCCAGCCATCTCTCGCTCAGGCTTGTGCAGTGCTGCCACTGGTTCAGCTCATTCCCCTCCCCCACTACCACTTTTCTAGGATGGGCACGTACCACCTGCCGGGTGCCAATGTGCCACATGTGGTACCAGTACCACTGGTTGAAAAGCCCTGCTCTAGACCAGTGTTATCTTAGGACTTGGGGGGGGGGGTTTCTGTCTCAGGAATTCTTGAAATCAAAATTATTTGCCAGCCTATGATGAAAAATAATATAATATTAAAATCTCATTAACCAATCATGAGAAGCGGTAATGGAAGTGAATACTTCAATTTTAATTTTCAATGCAGAAAATATTGATAAATATAACCCACACAAACAAAAGCTAATGTGCAATCTTCCATAATTTCTAAAAGTAGGAAGGAGACCTGAGAGAAAAACATTTAAGAAACATTGCTCTAAAACATCAAGGTAGAAAAAAAGTAAGTGTTCTCTCTTCCAACTGTTTAAATATGGCCCTAATTTATCTTCATATTTCCCAGCAAAATAACAGAATTTCTGGAATTAAGAAATCTGCAGTAAAGAATAAATTTTAAACCAGGAAACTTCTACCAAAAATTTAGCAGCCAGATTTGGGGCCAATTACAATTTCCACAACTTCTTAAAGACAGTTTCTTGAACATCTCATTCTAATGGCTTAATCAGGAATTTACAACTACATGGGTAAATGTGGCTAAATCATCCACAACAAAAAACAGTCCAGAAGATAAGTTACTTGATGTGGATGGCAATGTTATATTAACCACTTCATTAACCTACACATGCATGGATATCATGTCTCAGATCACTTCCAAATTGTGGACCAGACTTTTAAGAGTGAAAATGCCCTCTTTGGGGATAGAAAGTATTCCCTCAAATTGATTAACCTCTTTTTTCTACCCATTAAATCTTCAGGCTTGTCTGGATTTAATTTTAATCTATTACAAC